AAGAGAATAAAAGATTGAAACAATTAAGCCAAACACTTCTGTGACTACCAGAACAAGTTTACGGTTTAAAAGTAATTTAACACTGATTTTGTTCAAGAATACACCGTCGGGTAGTTTTTGTTAGAATTTAAGTGTGAAGTTTGTAGGTGGCGATAAAGAAGAAGAACCACTAAGTGTTATGAACCAAATAAGCTATTCTCTTCTTTCATCGAAAAATCTTCAGACAACTGAAGGTTCCAAAAAATTGTATTTCAAACTAAAAATATAAACACGATGTGAAATAAAAAAGAAAAACATGAGGCAAAAAATATTTGGTGCCTAAAAAGAATTTTTTTACCAGACAGTTCTTTTATCTTTTAAAGCAGAATGTAACTTTTTTTTTCTTAAATTTACGCGCCTTCAGCTCGATCACCGCCTTCGTTTTTTTTCTAGTCTGAGATACCTTTCAAAAGTTTTTTCTAAAAACAAGACTTTCTGAGGCTTTTATCATTTTATACAAAATTTATTCATTTATTTAATCACCTCTTATTATTACTGTTGCTTTTTCGTCACTTTATTTTGCTTCTGCTTTCCGACATTTTTTCTTGTAATTATTGATTCCTGTTTACTATGATACAGATGTTACCTGTAAGGACAAAATCGACAATTGTAAAGCAAGCATCAGATATTGCGAAGACAAAGTTTATAAATCAATCATGCAAGAACGTTGCCAGAAAACATGTGGATTTTGCCACGAAGGTTAATAATAACATAATATTTTTTATTTTATTATTAGTATTTCACGTTAGAAAAAAAAAAACAATTTAAGAAGTTTGAAACATAAAAGCAAAGGCACTTGTGTGCTACACACCCACAATGTGAATATAGGTTCTAAGTCATGGATAAATCTCAACCAACAGCTGGATTCCAATTAATCGCATTCTAACACTGTAATAATTTTTTTTAGTGTGTATAGACTTGATACCTACGTGTGAGAAGAACTTCTGTAACAACAAGGCCTATTTAACTTTAATGAAAGAGCAATGCCCAAGAACTTGCGGTTTCTGTTAAGAAACAGAACGGATTTGAAATTAACCGTACGAAGTTGCAAATATAATAATGAATGTCATTTGTTAGATTTTTGATGACAATTGCCAGTTTGTTGACTGCTGCTGTCTTAAAAAACAGTATTATCGTTGTTGCTTTTATTCTCTCCTAGCAGTGCTGAGATTCTTCCTTGAAAATCTTTCTGATTATACAGAATATTACCAAAAAATGATCATTTAGCATAGCTGAATTGAGTTGTTCAGTCATCATTGTTGTTATCATTGTTATTCATAATGGAACGATTAGATACAACAATAATTGAGCAGAAGAAACTACAGTGGGTTTAGTTACAAGAGAAATTTTAAGTGAGCTTGAACAAAACTGTTCTTATACTTTTTGAATAAATTTTTACATTATAACCCATAATCTTGTTGTCATTTATCTGAGTAAATTTCTCCAACACAAAAACTTGAAAAGCGGCAAACGAATTATTGCTGTTGCTCCAGATCTTAGAAAAATATTTTTTTTCTTTAAATTGAAAAACTGAACTTTCTCAGGCTCTCTCTGAGGTCGCAATAATACTGCTCCTAAAATGCACTGGAAAGCCAAAAATAACATTCAGTTGTAGGAATGAACAAACCATCAGCTGTGATCTTTATCGATGCAGTAAAAGAAAATTATTCGTGGAACGATGCTCAGAGAACTTCTGGCAAATGTAATCATTCAAATAGTTTTGAACGGCTCGGTACTTCGTCGTTTTTTGTTTTCATTGTCAGGGTCTTTATTTTGGAAATAGAAGAAAAAATTTGTGTGTAGTACTTTTCGCAGCAATTTCGGCATCATTAGAGGTGTATTGCTGGTTGACGCAGAGCTCGTATTAAACCGAGGAAACGATGAACTGGTGGAAAATGGTTGTGATATTTAAGGTGTATTGCTTTTCTCAGTAGTTTTAAAATACACAGAAATAAGATTGTGCAAGCATTAAAGTAGAAAAAAAAGGATGTACATCGCCACAAGTGTCAAGCCAAAATTAATAAGATAAGGTAAAAAACAGCGCGTTTTATTTTATTAATAATGAACATGGAAGAGCCAAAAACGTTGCGTGCAAAGAATGGATGAAAATTTTTACAAAAAGGGCGCTTTCAAACTGCTGCCACAAACTGCAACAGTCTTTAGAGATGATACTTGTGCTATATCGAAAGATTTCCAGCTACGTTATTTACAGGGCAAAAACTTTGAGTACAATTGCTCACAACGAATTTGTCGGTTTGAAGGTCAATTTTCAAGGTGTAGGTTTATTTCATCGGCATAACTGCTGGTAAATATCAGAAAAAATTGAAGGTGACGAATTGTAGGTCAATAAAATAATAAAATCTGTCAAAATAGCAGTAAAAAAACGAGAGAAAAAGTAAAAAGTAAATTATCAATTCCTAAAAGCTGATGAAAGGTTCCAGTTTCTTACAGGTTTTAATGTAAGATTGTAAGACATACTGAAAAGAAAAATATTTGTTGAATATTCCTAAATAGTGTTGTTGCTGTTGCTTAATGTTTACCCGATCTGCTTAACCACCTTTAACAGTTCTCTAAATGCACATTCAGAAAAATGATCAAACGAATCATTTCTTCGGTTAGGATTCTCAAACGAGAAATATTTCCGGAGATGTCAATCGCAATATATATTCAAACCCAAGGAAGTTTTTTTCTACACTCACTTTTCTAGCTAAGGGAGGATTGCATGACAGAAACTAATCTCTAAATGAGGGAAATGTTTATCGAGTTATTCAGTTTTTGCCGTGTAATTTCGAAAACGCTAGAAAAATTTGGTGGCTTTTATTCCTCATAAAATTTCTGCCCACTTTAGTTTTTTGAGCGCTTTTCTCATCAAAGGTTATTTTGCACTCAATTAATCAACAGTATTCCTGTTTGTTACAACAATATTCAATAATTTGTAAAGACTGAAGTTTTGTTGAAAAGAATATTAGAACAACTAACAATATTCGACTTTTGAGGCTCCGTCTCTTAAGATTCGTTCTTTGACCGTATAGAAATTTACAGTTTACTAGAGTATTTTTATTGGCTACTTTTTTTTTCTGATACTTTTCAACATTTATAAAATGAATGAGCAAATCTGTTATGAAAAGACAAGAAAAGTGGCAAGTTTCTTCAACTAAAAAAAATCTTATTCGAAAAATTTATTCCTTTTACTTTTTTTCGTGCTTATTTAGCAGTAGTTTCTTTATTCGTTTGTTCTTCTGTAATTTCTTTGAGGATTTATAAAAAAATTCAAAAACGACCAGTCTTCGGCACTCTTTTACACTGAAGGTACCTTACACAATTTGAACTGCAACCAAATAGAAAAATTTAATAAAAAATTGGTATACGGTTACTGCTGATCTTTCAACAGTCATCTTGCAGTAAAACATTAAAAATTTTTAAATAACTTTCTTTTGAAATAACATTCCTGAAGTTTTAACGACATTCCATCGCAACAATAGTTCAAACGTAGCACTTTCAGAGGTATCTGAAGGTAATTTTACTTCTAACATTGAAACAACAACCACAGCTTTGGTAATTAGCAAAACGTCAACGTCATGTCTGAAGTTTCAAGTACGAATGTGAAGGCAGTAGAATGACAAAAAAATTTTTTTACAGTTTTTTTTGGGGAGGAGGGAGGTGGAATTTCAAGGCATTGTGATGCAAATATTGTTTCTGCCGTTAATTATCACATCAGTCGATTCAACCACCCAAACTGCAGACTGGAGGTCCGCACTGTGAAACACTCAAAAACGTATGTTCAGATGCTTCTAAATAGAATTTCTGGACTTGTGAGACATCGTTGATCCGTATGACGGGTTCTTGTCTTTCGTCTTCGACCAATCTTCTTTTACTTGCTCTTTT